TATCCCAGGGCCACGTGCCTCCCACCCCGGAGCCTTTCCCAGGCATCAGGGCTCCTGCTGACAAGACCTAACGCGAGGTTGCCAAGAATAGCTGAATCTTGGTCACATCTCCCACCCTGGAGCAGCTCCTGGCACAGAGTCCCACATGCTCCTGCACAGGGTGGAGGAGGAGAGCTGGGAAAGCCCCAGGGTGCTGCAAGCCCCCCCCCCCAGCCTTCAGAGACCCACAGTGTGCTCGTTTTCTACAGATTTTTATGCTAAACAGTCACAATTTGGAGGAAGGGGGATGTGAGGAGGGAAAGAATGTGTTTTCTTCTCTCTCTTCCTTTATTGCTTTTTTTTCCTCCTGCTTTTTTCAGTGGCAAAGTGGAAGATGGGGAGAGGAAAAACCCAAGCAGGTTTTTTTTTTTTCCTCCCCCCCTTTCTCCATTTCCATTGTTGTTTTTCCCTGAAGTGGCCCAAGCAGCTGTCTGCACCCCAGTGATAATTCATGAACAGTCCTTTCATCTCCAGAGCCCTCACAGCTCCCATCTAATGAATCCCAGCTCTGGGATCCTTCAGAAAAATAGGATGGATCTGGAAACTGAGCAGAGACAGAGCTCTCCCCGGGTGGCCACTATTAATTACTCCATTAGCATTGGGGATCTTCAACCTCTCAGGCCCTAAAGCACCATTTGGGACCTCTCCAGATGAGAGGCTGTATAAATATAGGCAGGAAAAGGAGTCTTTGGTCAGTCCAAGGGAGCCTGATCCTGGCCCAGCTGCCTGGGTTGGGGACAGGGAGTGGGACACATGGAACCCAAAGTCCTGCCCTGGTGCTGGGAGCTCGTTGAGGTCTCCAGCCATGAGCTGCATGAAGAGAAGCCCCAGACGATCGCATGCTAAGCACAAATCAGTGCCTTGAGCCAACAGCCAGTTAAGTGCTATAAATAAAGCTGTTATCATCCCTGCCTCGCTCGCTGAGCAAGCTGGGCCACGCCGTTTCCTCCCCAGCAGCGTTGAAGGGTGATTTCTAGCCCGGGGGAGGCCAAGAGCTTGTCAGCATCCACAGTTCAGGGGCCTTTTTCCATCCTGCCATTGATTTTTTGCGCTTGGGCAATCAATCCACTGGTTGCCTGCCCTGGGGACAGACTGGGGACAGAGGTGGCAGACGTGGCTGCTGTCCCAGACAGAGACCTGTGTTACCTCTGTGGCCTCTTCCCAGCCTGTCTGGGTCCCAGGGATGCTAAGAGCCTTCCTCCTCCTCCTCCAGCTGATCCAATTCCCATTTCAGGCCCCTGACCGTCACTCTGCTCCTGACCTGGACCCCAGCAAGCTGCCTGTGCTGCCCTGGCTGAGGTGCTCCAAAAGGACAGAACAGGTTGGCTCTGTCCCCAGGTGGTGGCCAAGGGACGTGGCACAGGCTGTTCCTGATCATGCTGGTAGGAGAAGAGTGGAGAAGAAATCTGGGTGACGAAGGGGAGAAGGAAAAGGGGTAGGCATGGTGGTGGGAGAGGAGCTCATTGCCCACCAGGGGATGAGGACCTGCAGGAGGAACCTTAAGCAGAAGAGGCAGCTCATGGACACACAGAGTCCCTGCAAGAATGCAAGGAGCTGTCCCAGCTCCTCCTAAATCAACCCAGCGGAAGGGACGTGCTCATGTCACACTCCCCGGGAGGCAGAGGGGCAGAGGAGGGAGGAGGCTGCTGCTCTCTGGGAGCTTGAAGACTTCCCCATCTCTGTTTTGGTGCTGGTTGACGATGCACGGCCGGGGTTGGGAGGAGGGTGTGGAGGGGAGGGCAGGATGGAGGAGGAGGGGGGGGCCCATATGGAAAGGCTTCTCCCAGAGAGCAGCAAGATGCTGAGCTGGCGTGAGATCGGGAGCTTGCCGAGCCGTGGGCTGCTAGAGCCAAGCAATCAATATGTGAAAATCCAGCCCAGGCGAGGAAGGTGACCTTGAGCAGCAGCCAGCCAGAGCGAGGAGAGCTGCACGGATTGCACAGAGATGCTCCCCGGGTGAGGGAGGAGGGATGGAGGGAAGGGAGGGACAGGCAGGCTGTGAGCTCTCTGCCCAGGTTTAGGGCTGGTACCCGGGGTTGGTCTGCTCCTCCCTGCCCAGTCCTGCACCAGCTCCCTGCACATCCCTAAAGGAAAACAGCCCAGGCTAATACATCCCCTCTGACCAGCACTGCTCCCGGTGCTCACCCCACATCTTTTAACTCTCTCCAGCAACGGGGCTGCACCATTTCCTATCGAATTTACTCTGAAGCCCTGCAGCTCCTGCTGCCCCTCAGCAAATGCTCCTGAGATCAGAGTGATGCTTTTTGCCTTTGCACAGCTCCAATTCACAGATTCTACCATGAGCCCTACGCTAATTCCTCTCTCTGGCCACCCAGCTCCCTGGCCCTGGGTGCCCAGGGTGGGTCTGCTCCTCTGCTGCCTGCTGCCCCCTTCACTGGGCTCAGCTGGTGCCCGTGGCAGGCTGGCAGAAGCAGCACGGGTGTCCTGGGGGGATCCACATTCCCTTACACCCACCCAGGCATGGGATGGGCCATGCAAAACCTGTGGTGGGTCTCCAAGGGCTGGCTGTGACCCCATCCTTCAGGGGTGGTGGCATGAGTTGGGTAGAGCTGCAGGCTCATGGAGAGGAGCCAGGAGCCCCAGCTGCCTGGCCACAGCCTGGGGGACATGGGGCAGAGAGGTGACAGAGGGGGTGGCCAGGGCTCAGACACTACCAAGGCAATTAGAACTGGGGCAGGAGGGCTCAGGAGAACCCCTCCAATGCCCACTGCCACCTCCAGCCCTGGGGAAGGCTCTGTGCCTCCACCCTGCTCCTGGGCAGGATCCAGCCAGCCACTCCGGGGTGCCTGGGGACACCCCAGCCCCATGGAGGGGGTGAGGCCCTTCAGCAGGGTAGGGGAGAGCTGTGGGGCAGATCAGCAGAAGGGGGTTGCTGATCCCTGCACCATGCTGCAAAGCCAGACACTGTTTTTTTTTCCCCCCCCACCGAGGCCACATCAAAGACACAAGAGCACAATTAATAACTGCACAATCAGAACAGTGGGTCTGAGACCCCAGCAGCCCCCTCCCAAAGACAGCCCCAGCCTGGCCCCCTCCAGGGCTTTGGGGAAGAGGAAGACCCACTCATCCAGCCTGTTCCCTTCTCCCCTGAGCCCTGCAAGCCACACAAGACCACGATACCAAACCTCAACTCTCCCCTAACAAAGCCCCCCCCAAACCACCCCACTGCTCTTAGAAAAGTCTGGTTCCTGCAAAGCCAGCAGCCCCAGCTCCCCCAGAGTCATCCCTCCACCTACCTCAACTCTCCTCCCCTAGGAAGCAAACCCTTCTCCCCTCCTGCAGCTCCTTTGAATCCTTCCTTGGCCAACACCTTGCACCTGGGTTATTCCCCAGCTGCAGGAGACGAAAAAAAAACCCACCCTAGAAGGGAGGTAAACAGCAGGGAGTGAGTTTGCAGCCCGAAGTTGAGGTCAGGCGTTTCCAAACACTCTGCCTTGCCATCTAGTGGGACGAAGGCGAAGGGCCGGGGCTCCTCGTTGGGAAAATTGGCCAACTCCATCCTGCTGGAGCTGAGCCTGGCTCTGCAGCGATGCCTCATCCCACCCCATGAGCTCATCGGGGGGAACGGTGAGGCAAAGGGGTCAGAAGGAGGGATGGGGCTGGAGGAGAGGTGAGGGGACTGATAGAAATGGCTGTTTTCAAGGCTGGCATGACAACAGCGCTGATAAATCCTGGGAGTTTAGATCTAGCCTGAAAAGATACCTGGAATTGCTCCAAGTTTACCCAGAGCCATGGCTTGTGGCTCAGCATAGCCCACGTTGAGTTGGGCTTTACATGGAGAGGAAAGGCAGGGGAGAGAGGAGGTGCCCACACACGTGCCCCGTGCTGTGCCAGCGAGGCAGGCTGGCAGCACGGGCACCCCGTGGCATCAGCAGCGTGCCTGCAGATGAGAAGCTGGATCTTCTGGCAAGGTTTTCTCCAGCCACTTTAGTTGGTTCCCCCCCAGGCCTGGAGGATGTGGGCTGAGCTCAGTGGTTTCAGTTCAGGATTTTGGATTCTCCAGGGATGTGTCATCCCTCTCACGGTATGTGTGCTTCTTACATGTGTATAAAAATATAGAAGATGAATACATTATATTTAAAATACCTCACCACTGGGCAGCTCTTTTTTGGGTGTTGAAAGCTGGGATGATATGAGATATTTTAACTCCCTCTGAGTGACTTTTTCCTGCTGGACCTGGGGCTGTGTGGAGCACAGGCTCCAGTGCTGCTCCAGGTGTTCTCTGCAACTGCAGCAGACCCAAATCCAGGACACATAAGGAAAAACTTTGGTGTGAGGGTGCAGAGCCTGGAGCAGCTGCCCAGAGGCTGTGGAGTCTCCTGCTCTGGAGAGATCCCAAACCTGCCTGGCTGTGACCCTGGGCACCCTGCTGTGGGTGAGCTGCTGGAGCAGGGGGTTGGATGAGGTGATCCCCAGAGGTCCCTTCCCACCCCTGGTGGTGCCACACTCTTCCAGACCCACCTGATGGAGCTGGGGACAGCTGAAGGGACAGAATGATCACTCAGGCCAAACCTGACATGGCCAAAGCATCACCTCTCTGGAGCAATGCAGCTCCCCATCCTGAAACCCTGAAAGCAGACAGGGAGAGATCTTCCCAAGGCCCTGAGAATGACCCGAGGAAGAAGTGGGACACAGGGAAGTCCCCATCTTTGCCAGCTGGCACCCTTCACAAAGCAGCTGCTGGGCTGGGGCTGGGCAAGGGCTTTCTGGGGCTCTCACTGTTGAGAACAAGACACTTGATGCATTCTCAGTCTTCATTTTATTAGAGCTGCCCATCCCCTGTGGCGTTTGCCCCAGAACTGAGACCCACCCTGTGAGGCTCCGCTCACAGCGGGGTTAAACACATCTGCCTTCACCCCACCTTTTCCATGGGGCAGAAGGGTCTGGGGTGGGGGCAGGGAATGCCCATCTTCATTTCCCAGCCTTGGGGCCCGTGGGGCTCAGGAGAAGCGGCCCGTGGGCAGGCGGGGCAGGCAGAAGTAGGCGTTGGGGAAGAGGCCCAGGTTGATGGGGTTGCCGTCCAGGCGGATGTCCTCCAGCGCCCTGCGGACCTGGCTCTGGTCGTGGCTGTCACAGAAGGTGTCCTCCTGCATGGTCTGGATGTTGTTGTTCTGGCCAAGGGGGGAAAGGGAAAATCCAGAGTGGGAGGGATGGGGAGGAGGAGGCAGAAGAGGAGGAAGAGGAGGAAGAGGATGAGAAAGAGGGGGAAGAGGATGAGAAAGAGGAAGAAGAAGAGGAAGAAGAAGAGGAAGAAGAAGAGGAAGAAGAAGAGGAAGAAGAAGAGGAAGAAGAGAGGAAGAAGAGAGGAAGAAGAGAGGAAGAAGAGAGGAAGAAGAGAGGAAGAAGAGAGGAAGAAGAGAGGAAGAAGAGAGGAAGAAGAGAGGAAGAAGAGAGGAAGAAGAGAGGAAGAAGAGAGGAAGAAGAGAGGAAGAAGAGAGGAAGAAGAGAGGAAGAAGAGAGGAAGAAGAGAGGAAGAAGAGAGGAAGAAGAGAGGAAGAAGAGAGGAAGAAGAGAGGAAGAAGAGAGGAAGAAGAGAAGAGGAAGAAAAGAGGAAGAAAAGAGGAAGAAAAGAGGAAGAAAAGAGGAAGAAAAGAGGAAGAAGAGGGCTCTGCTAAGCTCGTGCACAGACATACCTGCGCCCAGGCTGGTCTCACCTGTAGGTGCAAGGAGCGCAGGCTCTGGGGCAGGGGTGTTGGGATGTAGTCCAGCTGGTTATCAGACAGATGGAGAAACTGCAGCTGCTTCAGGTCCTGCAGGGCGAGGGGAGAGCTGAACCCCCCCCTGCTCCCAGCCCCGCTGCACCACCCCGTTGCCCTTTGGCACAGCAGGGTTGGGGCTATAACCAGCCTGGCTTCACCCACCCGGAAAGCCTCCGGCCGCAGCCCGGCGCTGGGGATGCTGTTGAGCCGGGCATCCAGGAGCACGATGCCCCGGGGCAGCTCGGGCAGAGCCCTCAGCCTGTTGTGGGGCAGGAGGAGCTCCTGCAGGCTGGGCAGCAGGCGGAAGGCATCTGCATCTGCCCACGAGATGACGTTGCCACTCAGGTCGATTCGCTTCAGCTTCTCTGCAGGGAGAGGAAGGGAGGAGGTGGACGGGGAGCTGCTCGTTCCCCCCGTGCCCCACCCCGGGGCTCGGCCCGTCCCTCTCCCCACGCACTCAGCCCCGAGAAGTCCCCGGCCCGGATGGCACCGATGCGGTTGAAGCGGGCATACAGGTAGGTGGTCTCCGGGGGCAGCACTGGGATCTGCTCCAGCTCGGCGTCGTCGCAGTACACGGAGGTGCCAATGCACAGGCAGAGCAGGCAGCTGGGCAGGCCTGCGGGTGCAGAGGATGCCCTTGGCATGGCGTGGCATGGTGGGTGGCATGGCATGGCATATGGCATGGGGTGCATGGCATAGCATATGGCACAGTGCATGGCATGGTCTGTGGCATATGGCATGGTGCATGGCATAGCATATGGCATGGTGCATGGCATGGTGTGTGGCATAGCGTGGCATATGGCATGGTGTGTGGCATGGTGTGTGGCATAGCATGGCATATGGCATGGTGCATGGCATGCCACATGGCATAGCGTGGCATAAGGTGTGGCACATGGCATGGTGCATGGTATAGCATGGCATATGGCACGGTGCATGGCATGGTGTGTGGCATAGCATGGCATATGGCGTGGTGCATGGCATGCCACATGGCATAGCATGGCATATGGTGTGGTGCATGGCATGGCACACAGCATAGCATGGCGTATGGCATGGCACATGACACACAACATAGCATGGCATGTGGCATGGCACATGGCACAGTGCATGGCACGGTGCATGGCATGGCACACAGCATGGCACAGCACACAGCATGGCACATGGCATGGCACATGGCACAGCTCCCCCATCCCCCACAATGCACCCCATCCTTAGGGATGGGACAGACATGCCCACCCCTGCCCATGCTGTGGGTACAGGAAGATTTTGGGGCCTGGAGCTCTCTCAGCCCCTGCACCTTCACCCTCCAAACAGCCCAGGGCACATCGTGGAGGGAAGGGCCAGAGAGTCCCAGCCAAAAGAGCTGCTACTGAGTGAAACTGCCCGGGGCCAGATACCTCCCACGGGAGGGGGGGGTGAGGCTGCCAGGCACAGCAGCGTTACACCCAGGGCTCCCTTTGCCCCATTCCTTCTGCCACAGAATGAAACAGAACAAAAGAAAACAGTTTTGTGTACAGTAAACATCTGTCTGGGCTGTGTGAGGGTCCTGGCAAGCCTGGCAGAGGTGCCAGGAGGGGTCGAGCCACAGACACCCCCCTCCAATGTGCTCCCTCTCCTCACCCCCAGCCCTCAAGCCTCAGCATCCATTAGTGGAGGAGTTCAAAGCAGCAAGGCAACAATTTCCCTTCACCTCCTACTTAATTTGTCCCAGTCCAGAGTGACAGAAAATGAATAAAGATATTTATCCCTCGCTACAGGATTTTAATTGTCACTAATCTAATTGCTACTCTGTCCGACTGTCGCAATGCCTCTGCTCATTAAAATGTTGCTGCTTTGCTGGAGCTCTTGTTTCCCAGAAATGTCTCGCTGCAGCCCTCCTGCCTGCTGTGTGATAAGCCTCACCCCCGACACCCTGGGCAGAGCAAAGAGCTGCTGCTGTCTGCTGGTGGCAAAAGGATTTCCTCCCTTTCCTCCGCAGCACCAGCCCTGCCACCCTTGGAAAAAAAAATCTGCAGCACCAGCCCTGCCACCCCTGGGAATTCTGGCTGCATCCCATAGGAACCAGATCCCACCAGGTGCCTGGCTGTGCCCACCCCGGGCTCTGCACTCACCCTGTGCAGGGCTGGGAGCTGGTTGGACGTGGCTGGTGGTGGTCAGAGGCTGCAGCTTCAGGGTTTCAGCCGTGGTGCCTGGGTCTGGGAGAGCTGCAGGGTCCTTGGGGCGAGGAGCCAGGGTGCCAACCTCGATCTGCAAACACAGCAAGGGGGGTGAGGGCTGGGGAGGGTGAGTGAGTCCTTCTGCTCCCCTCCAGCACAGGAGGCGCTACCCAAGGAGTCGAGGGCACTGGGGTGGGTCTTCCTGCAAAGCCAGGTCCTCCTTGGAGTGCTCTCCTAGCTCAGGGCTTCAGACCCCCCCCCTCCCAATTTGCCCAGGGGGATGGAGGAACCCTCGTGTCCTGGCTTCCTGCAGAGAGGCTCTGGCCGGGTGCTGGCAGGGGACAAGGATGCTGGAGGAGGCCAGGGTCGGGTAAAACCTTTCCCTCCACCAACAAGAGCAGTGGAAAGGCCACCAAAGCTTGTAGGCTTGTGGAAGAGGATGGTTCTCCAGCCGTGTCCCCTGGACTAAGCCCCTTTCTGGGGACACACCCACAGAAGACCTGCCCCACACACGGGGTGCTCTCCTGTGTCCCCCTCACCTTTGGAGCGAGGTCGTTGTAGTCGTAGATCTCCTCATAGTTGCTCAGGTCAAGGATCTCTCCATAGTTGTCCAGCGTCAGGTCATAGTTGTCCAGGTCCAAGTTTCCATAGAGGGCAACATCAGCTTTTAGCTTCTCCACCCTCCTCCTCTCCTCCTTGGCTGGGACAGCCCAAACTGCCCCCAGACACACGCCGGCAATGCCCAGCCAGGCCAGGGGCCACATCCTGCACCAAGCTGGGGTCACTGCTCCAAGGACAGCGCTGAGCACCGCGGTCCTGGGGAGCACAGCACTCTGACAGGACCAGCCCTGCAGGTCAGGATGGGGCCAGGAGCCCTGAAACGGTGGCAAAAGCAGCAAGAGGACGGGCAGGACCGGCACGCCCGCCACTGCCAGCCCCACTTATGCAGCCGAGGAGGGGGCGGTGCGCCC